ATGTGAAACTACCTGGATACTGCCACAATACTTATTTCTTCGTATAAAGACCTAGAGGGTAATATGTCTGTAAAAAATCAGTTTTTGGACTCTCTTGAATTTTTCCCCACCTATCCTTGGAGCAGTATCAGATGAATATGGTGAGAAGTTTCATCACAAAATTATGCACATAGATAGGTGCTACAATGAAAAATGGTCAGAAGGAATGCTTGTAGATTAATTTTTTTGTTTTTTTTTTTTTTTTTTTTTTTTTTGGTTTATTATGATAATAAATAAATTTATCATTAAAATTTAATGCTAAAAAAGCGCCCAAATTTCATCAAAATCGGAATTCGTTACGGAAGACAAATGAGCAACATCTCAGAGAGAAAGGGATGTGTGGTAATTTTCAGATTAGAATCTCAAAAACTGAGGGACTATGTAGTACGCGTATGTGTTTGTATATACAGACAGAAAGACAGACGAATGGTTTCACGCTGATCACTTACACCTACGTACATATGTACAAATACTTTATGTATATAGTTAACATAACCTGCGCAGGGTATAAGTACATATTTGAGATCATCTGAACCTTAAAGTAGGCAATAGTATTTTTAAATACGCAAGTGAAACAAACTTTGTTATAGGTCTGGATATAAGGTCAAAAACAGTTCGACACATTTAACAGAGGTTCACTTCTTATAAAAGAACCTCATATTCTCAAACCATTATCACTTCGCTCAATTTCTGATCCAAATCAACATTTGCATTTTTTCTCAGACCCTTAGTGCTGGAAAAATACGGAAACATATGACAATTTGATAAGACATTCTTAGGGTGTACAAGTAGAACTTAATGCCTACAATCAAAATACCAACAAACCTACATGCCGACAATTCAAAATACGAACAAAAAAAAAATTATAAAAGAAAGTGATACTTTCAATAAAAAACATTGTTAATATGGTTTCTAGGTCCCAAAGTAGAAAACACCACAAATCGAATGTTAAATATCAGAATTTCAGTTGAGTAATTAAAAACAAAGAAAATGCTATGCGTATTTTATGAAATGTGGCTTTATACGTTCGAGGCCCTGAGGTCTTCCACATGTATAAAAGTTGGACATCCATAGACAAAATATGGGACATTACTAATACAATTTAAATTTTCCAAGATAGTTGGGACTCCCTAACTGGAAAGATTTTTATCCGTCGATAAAATTCTCAATTTTGGTGGTTCCTTCAAAACGATTTTTGGGATGTTTACTGCCGTTACAGCAGCAACTTCAATTTAATGTAGGTGCCACCAAGTATATCTATTTATGCAACACAAGGCACGCAATAATTTTTAATAGTAAAGAAATTTTTAATAATAAAAGAATACCAGATACCAAGTATCTTAGCTAATTCACTTAATTTAATTTTTCAATTATTCAAAAAACTTCATGAATTTTCAAATCTTCTAACGTAAGAAGTGATCATCACAGCCAACGCTGTGTATATTCTTTTCTTTAGGAAACAATTATTTATGAAAAAAGTGAGCTTAACTTCTTCATTGTACACAAACGTAGAAATGGTGACATCACCTTAAGACCGATAACGTGAATATGTTTTCGATGAAATGTTATGAAACTTTGACAGAACTCTCAACCTCTTGAACAGGTCAAAGTATTTTTAACCCATATAGTACAAGAAACCCCGTCTAAATTTGCGAAAATCATCTTTTCCATCATTATTATTTATGCCGTAACGTTGGTAGAAATGTTCTCTAGAGCCTTCAAATTCAATGCGTACAAAGAAACCAGGGCCAGGTGAGATACATACATACATATGTATATGTATGACCCTTTTTCATCAATTGTTATTAAAAGCAACCTGTGAAAAATTGTTGCTGAGCACCGCGTTGCCTTGTGGGCTCTTTCTCACTGACCCTGCTCTAATTAGAATTCTATTGAAGGATAGAACACATCTTGCACCGATTTCTGATGGCTTATCTGCTTCAGCGTGAAGTAAAAGGCATAAACATTTTCAAAATTGAGAAAACCCGAAATTTCCCTTAGCAGACTTTGAATTCTGATCGTGTGACTCCAAAGAAAAACAATACATTTAATTTGTTTAATTTTTCGATTTGGTTGTATTTTAATAATTTTTATTTGTATTTTAGGATTTTAGTTGCATATTTCCGAAGAACTGCCAGTAGATAAACTGTCAAACGCCGTTCCTCCTGCACTCACGCCCGTATGTATGATATATATTTACTTGATAGGCGAAGTATTTATGTCTTATTTCTTTTATTTTCTTACAATATTATGCTATAACAAAACACTACTTACATAATCTTAAATATACGTACACATACAAACGAAGACTATAACGGTTAACTAAATCAACTATGAATAGATTAGATGTAAGACGACTTACAGTAGTGCATTTTGTTAAACACATAAGCAAAACAAATAATATTAAACAGTTAGCGAACTAAACACAACTTAGGTTAGAAAAAACAGGTCTAGATATATACATTTCAAAAAGTAAGTAAGCTAGAAATAAGGCAAAATTGTGGTTTGGTTTCGATTTTTTTGTTGCGCTGTCTTAATTTTATATTGTTGCTGTTGTTGGCCACAAACTCTTTAACATCAATAGGTTTGAAATAATAGCAGCAAAGTATTTATTTTTTAGTTATTTGTTATTGCTTTTTACTGAACAAAAATTTTATACAATTTGAAACCAAATAAAACAGTTATTAGTTTACAGATTTTTCTAAAACTGCTGAGCACATAATTTTACAGTTTTCAACTAATTTTCAGATAGTTTATGTGCTTAGTTTTGCTTTTTTTTTTTAAGTTTTCTGGATTTACTAAATACATTTATAGCTTATTTAATAAAACTAACTCTTTAAGTTTACTTTTATAAATTTTTATATCACAATAGAAAAGAATTCGTGTTCTCTTTTTTGTTTTTTGCTTCTTGAATTGCATATAGCATAAGTAAATATGTACTCACTAATTACTCCCGATTTTTACATTTTTGCAATATTTTTAAAATTTTGGTTTTGATATTTAAACTAAATTTAAACAAAATTTAACAAAAAAATCAGCGGAACTTTTCAACACATGACATTTTCTTCTTATTTTATTGAATTTTTCATACCCCTCCACTTCTTACTTGTCGGTATTACGGATAGTAACAGAAATGATTCGGAAATTTTTCTTTACATTTTGTCTTTTATGCTGTTTACTAGCTAGTATTAGTATAACTGACTGTGTTGCAGTAGAAAATATTTTTATTTCGGCTGGAAACACATACGATTAAGGAACAAATTGATTTCTTTTTTGCATAAATTCGAATGGATTTCCAACCTTCAAAGTAGTTTGACGTTAGAAGCGCATATTTCGGTTCTTGACAGTCTGCTTTCATACTGACATCTGCGATCCTTGTAACCTTATGGTCTAGATTAAAATCTGGTGATAAAATTTTATTATCTCAGCCAATAATCAGCAAGCTCATGCATTTTCAAATCTGCGACTCTGCACTTATCAGTGACCTCACGTTAATACAGCAATAGACGACGTTTCACATATGAAAGCACTAGACATTTAGGGGAATCAAAGCATATTTAAGCGAAACAATTTAAAATCTTATCGCAGTGCAAACAAAATTTTACGGAAAATTTTGGCATCAAATTATTTTAAAACAACCGAACTACAATTACAGGTTTGCCACTTTACATTTTCTCACCCCCAGAATTCCTTTCTGTATTTTTTTACTTTGTAAATTCATCTGAATTTGGACAAAAATCTCCGATTTCGGAGAAGAGTTTTGAAACCCAAAATCCCCCCGTTGATGCACTACTACGTTTTCTCAAACAGTTATTTGCGACCACAGTTCCAGCCCCTCTTCTTGCAGTTCCAATTGCCTACTATGTTTTATTTTTTATTTCAATTAATTTTTGTTTTTTTGTCTGCGTTTTTTAGGGGTATTTTTTACTAAGAATTTTTGTTATTTCTTTTAATAGCTATTGATTCATGATAAATATACTTGTTTGCTGCTGTATTTATAAATTTATTTTTATTTTCATTATACTTTATAATATTAGTCTGCTCTTATTTGATTTTCTCTCGCCTAAAGAGTTGTGAGTCGAACTTTTTGCAGCTACAACAAAAATCAGTCAGCCAATGGCATTATTGCTACGCTCCCTAGCATGAGTCATCCCATCAAGTTCTTCAAGCAGTGTTCTGAGCACAGAAGCACAAGTCGCTCCACACAACTTTTCGGCATTTGCATACGAGTGCAAGTTACACTACTCAACAAACGGTATAAATGCTGAAATTTTGGCGTTATTTAATCTTGTTTGCGCTTAAATTTATTTGTTATATTTGTAAGAATTTTTCCGGTTACAAAAGCATTGCCACAATCAAGCTGATATTGAAATTTGATAGATTCAATACTTGTTTTTTCTTACATTTTGCATACAATTTTTCAAATTCACAAACTAAATAAAGGCCAATATTATTACCAGCGAAAATAAATTCAAAACCAGCACAAACTCAATTGTGACCAATGCTTTCATTTCAGTATTCGCATGTAATTTCAATTTGCACGCTGACGCTTTGTTACACAGTGTACAGAACGCGCGCAGCTAAGGCGCGCCACGCTGTTGTTGTTGCCAACGATTCTTACTTTAATATTTTCTATCGTTTTTATGTGCACTCTTTCAGCGTTTGCTTTTATATGTGTGTTGTTTTTGTTATCTTTTTTGTTTTTGGATTACTATGTGGATTTTTTTAGTATTTTTGTTGAATGTATGCACGGAGTGGTACAGAGCTTTACAGGTGTTCATGCGTTTGTTTGCATTAGTTCATACATTTTGCTGTGTATATATATATGTGTGTGTGTGTGTACAACAGATAGACAGACAAAAGTGAGGGTCGTTCGTGCATTTACTTTTGCTATTGTCGTGTTTTTTGTTTTATAATTTTGTTGTTGTTGTGCCTTAACTTTGTTACAAATGAGCTCAGCCTTAACTTGATACACTAGAGGTGAACTAAAAAGTGAACCTTGCGCCGCTAGAACTGACTCTTGGCACCGCCAGTTGTTGTGTTGCCTTTGTTGTAGCTGCTATTGTTTTTGCGCTGCCGCTGCCACGGTCTCGCGTTGCTAATTGTTGCCTTGTTGTTAGTTGCATTCCTATTATCGCGATATCATCGATTTGTTGTTGCTGTTGTTAACGTCGACACCGCTGCTGTCGTTGCTTGCATTGCATCTACGTATTTCCTGTGTTTGTTGCTGATTTTAGTACTTTAGCTTTTGTTTCGTCTATTGGAATTGTTGGTTGTTGTTGTTGGTGGTTTAGTGTATATTAATAATTTCAAAAAGTTGTGATTTAAATTCAAGTCATTCGAAAAGCGGTTGATAACCGTTACATTTGCCTCTACGCGAGTGTTCTATTAGCATCATGTTCCTGGTCTTAGCCAACGGCCATTTCAACCCGAATTGCCGCCGCGATATTTGCTGTCTGCACGCATCGTCAATATAGTACATACATTCTTATGCCGCACATAAGAAAGCGTTTGCATGTGTGTTTGTTGTATGCAAAGTAAACGCGACCAAAGCGGTGAGCCGCCATCGCAAAGCAAGGCAAGTGGTTAGCCATACGTCCATGCATTCAACCAGCCAGCCGAGCCGTGCCACGTCAAGTCGCGTTGGCAGGGGTACTGGCATGCCAGCCGAGCCTTCCGGTCCACCGTTCGTCAGCCAACAAGGCAACCATGCGAGCAGCCTTTGCAGTAGCCATAACTCCAGCGCAGTTACATATCTACACACATGTGCACACTCATGTACATACATACGGATATACATATGTACATACATGAAGGCTTGCAGCACATATGAGTTTCAGCGTGTGTGTTCTTGTCTGTCCGCATGGTTTGCTGTGCGCTGTCTGTCTGGTGAACTGCGCTGTGTTGCGTGCCTGACTTCGAATCCAAGTTAATCGCCATTGTTGCTGCCGTTCTTGCTGGCGCAGCCTTGTTTTGGTCGTTGGTGTTTCGTTTCACTTTGTTCAGTGTTTCTCCTATTCGCGTTTTATTGGGTTCTTCATTGCTGTTTTAAATTTAGTACAAGCCGTGTTTATGAGAAACGAAAGTCATGCATGCGTTGCTGTTGTTGTTGGTCGGTCTGCGCTGGCTTTGTTATATTGTAGCACTCGTATTATTTCGAACATGTTTTTTTTTTACTAATTTTATTCGTTTTTTTTTGTCGGTATTTTAATTTTTTCCAACGATCTGCACCCTTCTCAAAGCCGCCTCTCCGCCTTCACGTTGCAGTTGTCCCCATCACCGTCACTGAGCCTCGTGCGCGCATTTATTCAGTGGCGCGCTGGCGAGTTTGCATGCTGGCGATACACATTTCTAGCCGCACGAGCGCACATTCGTGTGCACACACACGCATATATTATGGCAGACAGACAGACATATACATATGTGTGTTTTGCATAATTATGGGTTGCCGCTTTGTTGCATTATTCCCGGACTCATGGTTTCAGCGGCACGGTGGTGTATTCTAGAAAGCAATTAGGCGCGAGGCAAGATCAAAATTTTAGACGCAAGAGATTGAGCTGATTTCGCTGTTTGATCACCTTAATCATCCGAAATCAAAGTGTGTTTGTGTTAGAAAATATCTACAATTTGTCTGCTTGCTGCCCTCTTCCTTCCTAAGCCTTTGGCTGCCCTACCAACGTTGCTCATCGGGACTTGAATTCCGACTTTGCGCTGCCATATCGAATTCGTTATACAAACCTTGTTGCATTGTCGCGCCGAAGAATATTTGGCGCATCGTTGATTTTTGCTGTGTGAAACGCATCATCTTACGAGCCATAGGCCGAGATTCAGTTTTATCAACTTCGGCAATTTCATGAACACGTCGATACCCTTTGAAGATAATTGCGTGCAACCGTACAAATCGATCGTCTTTAGATTGACCAGATCTTGCGCTAGCGTCTCTAACCCCTTGTCCGTTATTCGACTGCATTGCCCGATGTTAAGATTTTCCAGTTCCTGCAGTGATTTCGAGATCTTCAACATACCCTGGTCGGTTATTTGGCACTGATTTAGGCTAAGCGAGCGCAAACGATAGAGCCCTTGTGCGATGTGTGAGAGCGCTTGATCGCTTATCTTGTCGCAGAAGCTGACATCGAGTGAGGTAATGCCGCTGCCGCCTTCGGTGAGGTACGCCATGCCGATGTCGGAGATGTTGTCGCAGGAACGTAAGTTGAGTTGCTCGAGTTTGGGCATTCGCGCCAAATGCTTGAGGCCGCTGTCCGTGACGGAGACGCAGAAGCTCAGGTTTATTGACTTTAGTGACGTTAGACCTTGTGCTATATGACCGAGCGCTTCATCGCTGAGTCGTTGGCAGTCCTGCAGACCAAGATATTCCAACTCCATATTACCTTCGGCTGTTTCCTTACTCAAGCCAGCCAAGTGACCAATACCCTGATCACTGATGTGCCAACAGGAACGTAAATTTAAATGTTTCAGTTTCTTAAGACCCCACGCGATGAGTAACAAACCGGTGTTAGTAATGTTGCAGCAACCGCCAAGTTCAAGTGTCTCCAAGTTCTTAAGATGTTGTGCAATGCGTCCGAGACTCGTATCGGTGATTTGTTTGCATAACGAAAGATCCAGCTCTTTTAAATTCGGCAAATCCACGGAGAAAGCATGACCCAAATTCACATCGGCCACGTTAAAGCAACCGCTCAAATTTAGCGAGACTAGTGATGGCACGCCGAGTACAAGATCCTTTAACGAACGGCGCAGCGAAAGTATTTGCACCTTTTTAATGCCGCGACGCACCAGCGAATTGAAGAGACTAGGACTGGAACGCTTGAGATGCAACTTTGCTTCAACACCCTTCCACACGCTCTTAGCATATGCCGCATCACGCCAAGCAACACAAACCTGAGCCGCCCGACCCAAATCCCGTACCGGCAACTTCTGGAAGATCATTTCGAGTATTTCGGGGAAGAGATTGCTGATGTGTGTACCCTCGATAGGCGCTGGACTCTCTGGCGACGCCGGCCTATGCTGCAGATGATGATGATGGTGATGATGCTGCGCATGAGCGGCCGCAGCGGCGGCAGCAGCCGCGGCATGCTGGAGGTACAACGCGGGTGGTAATGTCTGCAGTTGGGGTCGATGGTGCAACGCGTAGGGTGTGAAGCGCAGCAGATGGTGTGCGCGCTGTGTGAGGGCGGGAAGTTCAGTCTGTTGGTAGAGGCAGTCCTCCATGTTCCAAGCGGCCGCGGCCAGTTGTGTAGCATTTGGCAGTACGGAACCAGCAGCCCCACCGCCACTACCATTGCCGCCGCCGCCACCACTGCCACCACCATGATAGCTGGTCAGTGCAGCGGCAGTTTGTAGAGAAATGGTTGTGTGATGATGGAAGGGTAGTATTTCCGTGTTTGTAGCCATCGTGTGTGACGTTGGAAGCTCTGTGCCGGAATTGATTGAAACGAATGCAGGGAAGTAAACAGTTAGTGTGCCGAACTTTGTGCGCTTAATGATATTCGCTGTGCCGCTACAATTGCCGTTGAAGGTCAACTTAATCCAAATAGAATATTTCAGAGCTTAAGTGGCGAAGAGCCAAGATAGCTTGATTGTTGGTTGTCTTCTCGAGGCTATCAGTTGGGGCACATTTTGTCTTTAGTAACGCAGTTGGACGTCGTGACGTGTTGCGATACGGACCCTGACGTGACTTAATTTGATTAAACTTGCGCAAAGGGGCAATTTAAGCTGGTCGGTGTTATTATTTCTATAGTCTCTTATTATAGCTCGTACACTTAAAGCGACGCTTTGTCCACAAAGGTGATTCGATACGTTTCGGTCCCTACTCTACGCGGCACTACCGTACGCGTTCGATATAATTCTTGACTATGTTTCTTCACTTCCCAGTTTATCTACTCAGTCGTAATTTTTTTTACACTCTCGCTATGGTACTGATTGCCACTGTGATAATGAAATTACCGTATCAGTTCACAATTCAAATTTAAAAAACATTTTCCTTTTCTCTTGTGCTGACTATTGCTTCTTGGATTTTAGGGCGTGAAGCGACTATTTAATCAACTTATTTACTGCTATTTTTTAATATTAATCACTATACACGTGCTCATTGAGCTTAAAAGTGGCTTGATTTGTATTTCAGCGGTAATTTATTATTTCTGTTGTTGACTTTACACTTCGCCAAAGACTTCCGAATTATAACCGTTATGTTTAGCAATGTTTCACAGACTAAACTCGTATGCTCTGTGTGTTTTAGTTTTTAAATGAAATGTTACCTCGCTATGAAATGCTGACTCTCAAACACATGCATACCTGAGAGTGGCCAGAGTTTGCCGCTTTGCTCTCGTGAGCAACGTCGCTACTTTCAGCGCTAAGGAGCAATGCAAAATCTCTCACTAGCACTGAGCACAGTGTTGAAGAACAAAGCAAGATGGCTGAATTTTCTCACGCACACATGCGAGTGTCGCTCACAGATACACACATACTTGCATGCAGAGCAAATTTCAGATAAAGAACGGCCAAATATTGTTGACGCTTGGTATTGCCTTTGACTTTGAATTTCGTTGTTGGTGCGCATTGCCTACTGGGCTGCTTTTCTTCCGTGCGCTCACAGCTCGAAAGAAAACCAGATAAGAAATTTGAGACTTTATTCTCTGTTATTTTTTCCAGAAATACTACGTCTTTAGAATACTTATTTATTTTATTTATGTACACTCCTAAATAAGTGTGTGTGTGAGTATGCATGCTTCTGAACTTACATACAAATATAAATATATACATATGTATGTCTATATATGATGTTTATTGTTTAGAGCGGTATCAAATCTTGATTACTTAACATCTTACGTCACGTCTAGTATGTAGATCTTCTTACATTTGGAGCGATAATGAAAGGGGTACAAATAGGGAGTACAATGCAAGTGCACTTCGTTACTTTATTTGAAGACATACATAAGTCAAATAATAACAAAACTATTATACTCCACACCAACATGTTGCGAGAATATAAAACTTTCTGAATCTTTTTTAAATTCACGCTATAATTATTCAAAGATTTTAGCCGAGTTCCCGTTCAATTGTTTAATTTAAAATAATCTACCTTGTTTTATCTTGACTACCTACTGTTGAGAACGCTTTGAAAGCCTTGAATACAAATTGAAGATCCTACTAAAAAAAACGAAAGGAGTTTCTAACATGAGGATCCCCAAAAGGAGTCAAAAATCCTCAACTCTAATTTTTAACCCTGTATATATAGTCGAACTTTCATATGGCGATTTTCAACTAGACAAAACAACTTCATTATATAGAAAACTCCTAATACAGAATGGTTTCAAAAGGCCATATTTTTACTAAGGCTTATTTCTTTACAGTTATTAAACAACACCAGTAAATTTAAAATGGAAATATATGCTTTTTTTGTGGCCGTTTAGGTAATCGGTATAGATTGCGTTAATTCGTAAATTTCCCAAAGACATGAGACACCACACTTTTAATAACAAATAATGCTCTTTACAATTTATTTTTATACTCTCGCAACAAAGTTGCTAAAGAGAGTATTATAGTTTTGTTCACATAACCGTTGATTGTAAGTTCTAAAACTAAAAGAGTCAGATATGGGGTTATATATACCAAAGTGATCAGGGTGACGAGTAGAGTTGAAATCCGGATGTCTGTCTGTCCGTCTGTCCGTCTGTCCGTCCGTGCAAGCTCTAGCTTGAGTAAAAATTGAGATCTCATGATGAAGCTGGGTACACGTATTTTTTGGCTCCATAAGAAGGTTAACTTCGAAGATGGGCGAAATCGGCCTACTGCCACTGTCATAACTAAGCCGTAAATAAAGGTATTAAAGTGAAATTGGGCACAAAGGATCGCATTATGGAGTGACATATTTGGACGTAATTTTTTTGAAAAAGTGGACTTGGCCCCGCCCCCTACTAACTTTTTTGTACATATCTCGGAAACTACTATAGCTATGTCAACCAAACTCTATAGAGTCGTTTCCTTCAGACATTTGCATATTCAGTGGATATAAAAAAGGAAGAAATCAGATAATAACCACGCCCACCTCCCATACAAAGGTTATGTTGTCACTAAAAGTGCGTTAACCGACTAACAAAAAACGTCAGAAACACTAAATTTTACGGAAGAAATGGCAGAAGGAAGCTGCACCCAGGCTTTTTTTTTTTAAATTGAAAATGGGCGTGTCGTCGCCCACTTATGGAACTACTCAACCGATTTCAATGAAATTCGGTATATGTATAATAATTTCTTAACACCCTGATGACATGTACGAAATATGGGTGAAATCGGTTCCCAAACACGCCTTCTTCCAATATAAAGCTATTTTGAGTTCCATCTGATGCCTTCTCTGTATAATACCTATATACATTAGGAACCACTGATGATAGCGGAATAAAACTTTACACAAATACGGTATTTGAGCTGAGGTATCCCTTGTGGAAAAATTGTCGTGATCGGACTATAACTTTTCAAGGTCTCTGATATCGAACACGAAGAACTCAGTGCCTAACCTAGAATTAAAATAATTTAACAAATCTTTCAAAATTGTAATATTATATAATAAAATATACATTAAGAGAAATGCAGTTTTTTGAAAAAAAAATACTGTTTTAAATAAAATATATTATTTGCTAATATATAAGTATTTGTATAAATTTAAAGTAGAAGTAAATATTTTAAGAAAATAATAAATGAAATGTACGTAGGATACATTTTGCTATTTGTAAAAACATATTTTTAGAATTTAAAAATATAACATTTAATTATTGCTTCTAAGTCAAACCTAAGTCAGTCCTCATGCCGTTAAAATAAATGAAAATACAATTCAGTACTCAAAGTACACAAATGGATCTAATCTAATTAATTTTACAGCAAAATAAAAACATATGTAAATGACGGATAATGAAATCTCGATTATCACTTTATCATGCGAGAGAATAAAAGGTTCGGTGACACCCGAACTTAGSTCTTCCTTACTTGTTTTCCCTAAATTTTTCTGTAAAGTGTTCTCGTAAAAGTGCTATTAATTTCATTGAGTGAATAAATACCATGCCCTATGATCTAGGTATATTTAAGCTGAGTTCCATGAAAATAGTAGCATGCCTATAATTTAAATATTAATTGTATTTGTTGTTAGAATCAAATTAATCCTTTTCGGATGTCGCCCCTTTTAGAGCATGAAAAATATATAATATGTATGTATAATACAAATTTTGCAGTGAAACACTTTTTTTTTATTTTTGTTCTACATTTTATTACCCGAAATATCTATTGAACCAAAAACACAGAAATGAAAATAAATATTTGTTTATTATTAATACTCTAAAAAAGCTTTATTTTTAACAAACAATTTTAAAATTCAATGTTAAACTTGAAAAAAATTTCACTGAAACATCCCAAATGATAAAAAAAAGTTTAGGGTGATTACTGGATGAGACGGATTCGAGTTTATAAGTGATTTACATCATTTAAAAATGGTCTTGAATATTTAAATGACCACTAAGTGACCGTCAAGTCACCGGCCGGCAAGTATTCGTTCTAACCATAATCGGGGTTGAAAAATTCCGTGAAATCGTTGGTTGAGAGACTAAATACGTATAAAAACACTATTAATAGAATTTGCCGAGGCAAATTCATGCAAATAACATATAAAGATCTATATATGCGCTGGTGGATCGTTCCAAACGTCAACTCTTTTTTCATAGTAGAAGGTAGCATCGAATGCCGGAGTGCAGAAGTTTAATCCGCCAAGCCTAACTTACTCCTTACTCTTATGTCCACAGAACTAGTGTACTAAAAATTACCTCATGGGAGGAAAGAAGACATTTAAGGCTCCTGCATTATAAGAATGCCTCAATCTTATTATAATTGAGCTGATGCTTTGCTGACAGCTTTTCATTTTCAGAGAAGTTGCACAAAAGTGCGGTAAAATTTTCCATGGTGAGACTACCTCCAAGTGTGGTTTTCAACTTTTCTCTATTAATTAGGGTAATGATAGAGTACATGTTCAGAGTCTTCCATACTGACTAATACCTTAGCAGCGTCGTTCGTTTGTTATGGTTCTGAAATCATTTATCACGCATATTGCAGAAAGTCTATGCACTTCGTTAATTGGTCTAGCATATGAGTTTATGTCTAGCGTATTTATGTATATTGGAATCGCAGAGAGTATAGCTGATCTCATTGCCTTAGCTATTAAAAATCGTCGCCTAGAACGTATACAATCTTTATTTGCCATTATTCTGATAAAGCATCTATAATGCTCTTATTTGCTTTACTTGTCGTATTTTCCGAGTGGTCCTTGAATTTAAGTCTTGATTCCACTATTACACCAATGTACTTCATCTTTGACTGTGGAGTCATCTTTCTTGAGCGATATGTTTTCTTCAAATTACCTGGGCAAGACTTCTGTTTTCTGCTGAGCCAGCTCTCGACTCATGGTAGCAAACCATCGGCGCAAACCATTTATGCAGTCATTGCATTTGATCCGGAGGTCATCTAGATGTTTAGCCACTATTACCATTATGAGGTCATCCGCATATGCAATTGTTTTTACATATTTTATTTGCGGTATTCTTAACACCCCGTCGAACATCAGGTTACATAGCAAAACCAAGCCTTACGGTACTCCACTGGATATAGTGTAGCTCTGAGAGTGCTCGTCCGGGTCTAGTAACAAGGTCCTATTTTGAAAATTGTGAATAAATAATATTTTGAATAAGGATAATATAATGTGCATTTTATTCAATATCCAAAAAAGTTGGTTATTTTTAGGACTCACTTTGAATATCAGTCTAATTCTTATAATTGTATGGATTTTTGAGGTCCGAGAGGATCGGGTTGATCCCCTTTGGTCAGTAATTTATAAGCACAGTTAAAATAAAATTTTGTTAATTCAATCATAATTTTTTCAATGGACCTACTTAAAGAATATCTAAGAAGAATCAAAAAATACTCAAATGATATTATCAAAGAAAACAGAAAAGATTATACAAATTTCGTTTGAATAATCGAAATATATAGATATATATAGTTATTTAAACTTTTTTAAATGAAGTTATATAATATATTAAATAAAGAGCACAATTTCTTGTTCTAAAAAATTTCTGAAGCATCATAAGTTAGTATTTGGATAATAATATAGTTGTTAAGTCATAAAAATATAATAAAAAAATAAAGATATTATTTAGATGTGGT